ATTGAACCTTTAGAGCACGGCGACGCTGTCTTGAGCTAACGTCAATATTGTACAATGTGATTTTCATGATAATAATCTTAGCAAGATTTTTTTGTTTCTATTTACTTTTTACCTTTTTTTCTGAGGATAAGGGATTGCATGAAAAAAAAACTAATTTAAGATCAGGCTAAGCCAACATATATTTGGCTGTTGTCAAATGAACAAGTTAGTTATCCCAATACGTGGTTTCAATTGTTATCAAGATAGTGAAATACAAAGAAATGAAGAGAAATAAAATAGTTATAATAATAATAAGCCGCGGTATTTCAGTTTATGTAGCAAAAGAAAACCGAAGGAGAATCCTTTGGTAAAGTCATCCAAAATGGCGACCATGAAAATTAGTGATTAGATTGCTTTACTAATATATATATATATATATATACAAAAAAAAACACAATAATAACCAAATCAATACACCCATGTTACAAATATAACGAACTAACTTAATAATTTACACTGAAAAGATGATAATAGAGCTGACTTATTCTGTCATATCTCTGACTTTCGCAAGTAGTGTGTAGTATGTGAAGTCCTAAGTATACCCAGTATACACTCAATAGAACTCTTCGGCTCTGACGTAATGTTTACCCATTTCAGACCACGTGTCATTCCCTAGAGTATCATTTCTTTGTTTAAGGTTTGCGCTCGGTTGCACATGAGAAGACACATGAATATGGATACAGCTCAAACAAAGAATCTTATTCTCAAGGGAATGACACGTGGTCTGAAATGGGAAAACATTACCCCAAGCCGAAGAGGTCTATTGAAGAATCGTTGTCAGGTTCAGAAACATCGAACATCGATGGAAGCTGAGACCGAAATGGCACATGGGAAGTACGTTAATTAGATGCATGCTGTGACCGGCGACCCGTGGCATCATCCTCTGTTTTTAATACGCTTTTGGCATTCTAAACCGACTGCATGGGTGGCGCAAATGAATAAATTATAATATAATTATGCCATTTCCCATGTGCCATTTCGGTTTCAGCTTTTATATTCTATGTTTCTGAGCCCGACAACGATTCTTCAATTGAGTACCACGCACGCACTGTGAACCGTGCAAAACCCAGCCCGTGACGTCATCTTGTCGACAGCCAATCAGAGGCATTTTAATTAAGGCTATAAAAACTGTATTTTGGTGTAAAAGGTTTGTTGAATTGTCAAGATTGTAAGAGGGAGAATTTATTGCTCGGCCGCGTCCAGAAAGGTGGATTTTCTCAGTTCGCAATAAGGTAAACCGATCTAATATAACTTAATTTTATTACGTGAAACCCTTTTCTCCGACATATAAAAAGTCTATTAGAACATACATTTAAAGTAAAACTTATTTTCAGGCAAAAATGACAAAGCTTTTTATCAAAGAATGTACTTTTGAGAAAATCCATTTTTAAATTCGGCCAATTCAACTATGGAATGAGTGCCACAGGTTTTTTACTCTCGTGAAACAAGGACGAGTTTTTTCTTCTTTTTTTTCTTCTTCTTCCTTTCTTTCTTTTTCTTTTTCTTTTTTAGTGTACTAACGGAACTCTGTAGGTTTTCCTCGTTGGAATTAGTTTTCAACGACAAAAACGGAAAGCCATTTATTTCTTTTGCGGCCAAAGCATGTTTACAAAAGTCGTTAAAAAGCGATTAATATTTTTATTGCAAATTTAGACAACGAGTCACTTAGGCGTGTGATTGAAATATAGAATTAAAAAAACGTTTTATAATTGGCAAGATCAGAATTTCCACGGTGGAAATATTTATTGTTTTATGAAGAAATTCTCTCTTTGCTTTTACCGGAACTCTAACTGTTCAAGCCTCTCTCTCCCTCTCTCGGCTCTCTCTCTCTTCTCTTGTATATTGAACTACAACATTGAACATTTACGAAGCAATTAGACTTCCCTTCATGATGTTTAGGAAGTTGATCTCTTCACAGATATCAAAATCTAGCGCACATGTCTAGACCTTGACTTCTGACAGCTTCAGTGATCTTTCGGATGTTCTAAGCGCGAGGAAGATCAAGAGACAGTTGGACTATAATGAAAACTATATTGGAAAAATAGAGCCTTAGGCATCAAAATTGTTTGTAAAAACTCTAAATAACAAAATTCGATTGAAAACCAATTTACGCTGCGAATTTGGGTTGATTTTTAAACATGGTTTTTTTCTTCCAACGCATATCTATATAACGCATCGATCATTCGTTTTTCTACCCATACTAGATGTTTTTCCAGTAGCTTCCCCTCAATCTTAATTTGCCATTTATTTTGACTTCAAATTGTTTGATCTACTTTGGAGTTGACATTTGAGAGGAAAACGGGAAGTGTGGTTGCGATTCTAATCTCGTTGTTCAGCAACTGTTAAATAATCTGCGACTAGAGGTTCGAAGTCCAGACTGACTTTTCGAATATGGACGTAAAGAATCGTACAATTATTAACCATTATTTTTTCTATCTTTCCTTTTTTTTTAGATAAGTTGTTTTTTATGTTATTTTTCAAAACGTTAATATCACGGACAAGCCTTCGTTTTTCGTGGTGTGATATTGGCTCATCATCTTTAGGGGTGTCGCTTTTAGAGACAGATTAAAACGACTCAGTTTGAAATTCGAAGTGGGGATAACCACAAATCTGCACAAATTATGATTAATTATTAGAATGTTTTCTAGTTAAAGAGCAGACACTTTTTATAAAATATTTGCAAAAATTCTGAAACAGTATCTGGTATACTGTACTCGCATTGCATGCTTAGCCTAAAAATACAACGGAGTTTTTCCTATTAATTTCAATGCGGCTGTGCCCTAAGAGTGCGTGTTAATTAGCACGCCTTAAAAACACACGCCGAAAATTTATGTTTTGAAGCCATTGGGACATATTTTCATAATGTACACGGTAACGAGCGTAAATAAGCATGTAAAACTCGGAGATAATACTTTTGCTATTATTCACTTGACTTTAATTTAAAATTTTGTCTTTCAATAAGAAATTTAAGTATAGAACTTTTTCCTGTGTGCAGAAAAATTTGGCAATACTGTAATCCTTTACGGCTTGGGAGTAATGTTTTCCCATTTCAGACCATGTGTCATTCCCTTGACAATAAGATTCTTTGTTTGAGTTGTATACGTATTAGTTCATATTCATGTGTCTTCTCATGCACAACCATTAAACAAATAAAGCGTACTCTAGGAATTAACACGTGGTCTGAAATGGTAAAACGTTACATTATAAATACATTATTGATGTATAGTTTCGTGGGAGATTAGCTCAACACCAGGGGAAAAAATAGCAAACACTTAAAACCACACAACGTAGTTATTAATGTTGACTGTATTAAAAAAGATCTTACTAGATCGTTTCGAATAGTTTTGCTTCTTCTTTCAACACTCAGTACAATTCCTTATATAGTCTTATTTAGATTTCAAATAGGGGAAAACTAATATTGGCTCCCTACTTGCGAGCGCTACGTCTTTCAGTACTTCAATAACATCAACTAGCCATGTTTAGATTAGAATATTTAAGCTGCGTGTAAGAGTAAGAGGAAGTAAAGAAGGAAGCTCTTATTTTTTGTATTTGAGAATTAATTGTCAATTGATTATTCGTCGGTAGAATTTGAGTGGATATTGAATATAACTAGATTACTGAATATGACTAAATATAGATGATCGCTAACTCATCCTATTCAGTCTCATCTCATTCTTTTTCATGCCATTAATCTGATACCATTACATTTCATTTCATTCCATCTCTTTTCATTTGTCATATCGTGTCAACCTACCCAATTTCATCCCATTTCACTTATTTTATAGTTCAATCTCATATCCTGCTATTAATAGATAGACCTCTTTAGTTTGGGCTAGACCACGGGTCATTCTCTTCAGAATAATATTTTATATTTGAGTTGTATCCATATTCATGTTTTTGATTCATTGTTTTCTTATGCGCAACTGTAACACAAAGACATTACGCCCAGGGCAGCCAGGCCTATTTTCACTTCGTCTCATTTCATCTCATTCCCTTTTTACTAGTTCTCTTCAGCTTTTCGCTCATCTCTCATCTTCTCTATCTTCTCTTCTCCTAGATGAAATCTCCCGCGGTATACGCCTTATTGCTGTGTACTATATTCGTATTATCATACCTTCATCTGGCCTCTTCAGAATATTGTACGTCCTGTGGCTGTTGTAACGGGCGAGCCCAAGCTTGTATGGGAATGTGTCAGTATCCAGCAGATTGTAACATATGTGCCAACGAAGCTAAAAGTTGCAGGGATATACTGTGCAGCGGACGAAAACGAACACAACGTCCGTTATGGGGAGCGCTTATAGAAAGACAACACAACAATAGATTTATGAATAATGAAAATAAGTTTGAAGCTTAGAGCAACTGAAAATGGGTATCTAAAAAGCCACACCTTCCAAAAGTGAAAAGTCTATTTCATTTAAAAATTATTAGCTACAAGAAGACAAAAATTCTATTGGTTTTACGTATATTTAATCTCAATAAAATTGCTTCTAGTAAATAAGAGAATTATTGCCTGTATATTTTACTCAATATATCTATTTTCTTTCTTACTTTAGTCTTATTTGCAAAAAAAAAAAAAAGGTTTTTGTCAAATATTTTATCCAAGGCATATGCTTATTCCTTGTAAAAGACGTAGTATTTTTAGACTAATCTTCGATAAATCAGATCAATACGAACCAACTATAAATACAGCCAGTTTTTATTATATTATTGTTTGTGGGGGG